TAGCATGGCCAATTCATCTACCCTGCACATCTTTGGACTGTGGGAGGAAACCCATGCAGACACGGGGAGAACCTGCAAACTCCACATGGAATGTTGCCCGAGGGTGGAATCGAACCTGGGTCCCTGGCGCTGTGAGGCAGCAATGCTAACCACTGAGCCACCGTGTCGCCCCTTTAAACAAAGGCTGACATGATCAGGAAGCGCTCATTTTGCTGAAACCCAGGATTAAACCAGGGACTTTTAGATCTTCAGTCTAACGCTATCCCAATGGCGCTATTTTGGCTGGCAAATAGCTGGGAGTTAAAATCTCTATTTTCACTGGTTGAGACATTTTTAAGTTCATGTCCGTGTTGTTTGCTGTGTTAAGTAATTAACTCCATCTCTGTTGTTATATTGTAGGGGGATGACAATGATGAGGACTTGTGTATTAATTCCAACAGTGGTTACAGCCCTGACTACAGAGGCAACTATTTCAATGATGGGACAACAAAAATTGGTGAGCACCCCACTTCTGTCCTGCTTGTCACTGTGTCTTGGTTCATATGTTTCACTTTCTAGTCTCATCATGACATTTTTCTTTAGTCTCTATGCTTTTTAATTCCTTACATTATTATCATGAGAGCAAGAAAAAGGTGGTTGAATCTGTGTATTTTGTATCTCTGGCAGAAAGGTCTAGCATTCTCCTATACCCAGGTTGGTGTGCATGCTTGAAACAAATGGTGATTTATGACAGAGTCTCTCATTCCAGGCAGCCTATGTTTTTTTTCTGGAAAATGGAAATACAAAGAAAGGGAGCTCTCTGTGACCAGCGGGGTGTGCTACTATACAGAGACAACAAGGTGCAGGGCTGGATGAACACAGCAGGCCAAGCAGCATCATAGGAGCAGAGAGGCTGACGTTTCGGGCCTAGACCCTTCATCAGAAAAGGGGGAGGGGAAGGGGGTTTTGAAATAAATAGGGAGAGAGTGGGAGGCGGATAGAAGAGGGATAGAGGAGAGGATAGGTGGAGAGGAAACAAACAGGTCGAAGAGGCGGGGATGGGGCCAGGAAAGGTGAGTGTAGGTAGGGAGTTAGGAAGGGGATAGGTCAGTCCAGGGAGGACGGACAGGTCAAGGGGGCGGGATGAGGTTGGTCGGTAGGAGATGGAGGTGCGGCTTGAGGTGGGAGGAGGGGATAGGTGGGAGGAAGAACAGGTTAGGGAGGCAGGGACGAGTTGGACTGGTTTTGGGATGCGGTGGGGGGAGGGGAGATTTTGAAACTTGTGAAATCCACATTGATACCATTGGGCTGCAGGGTTCCCAAGCGGAATATGAGTTGCTGTTCCTGCAACCTTCGGGTGGCATCGTTGTGGCACTGCAGGAGGCCCAGGATGGACATGTCGTCTGAGGAATGGGAGGGGGAGTTGAAATGGTTCGCGACTGGGAGGTGCAGTTGTTTGTTGCGAACCGAGCGTAAGTGTTCTGCAAAGCGGTCCCCGAGTCTCCGCTTGGTTTCCCCGATGTAGAGGAAGCCACACCGGGTACAGCGGATGCAGTATACCACATTGGCAGATGTGCAGGTGAACATCTGCTTGATGTGGAAAGTCTTCTTGGGGCCTGGGATGGGGGTGAGGGAGGAGGTATGGGGGCAGGTGTAGCACTTCCTGCGGTTGCAGGGAAAAGTGCCAGGTGTGGTGGAGCTGGAGGGGAGTGTGGAGCGGACAAGGGAGTCACGGAGAGAGTTGTCCCTCCGGAAAGCAGATAAGGGTGGGGAGGGAAAGATGTCTTTGGTGGTGGGGTCGGATTGCAGATGGCGGAAGTGTCGGAGGATGATGCGTTGGATCCGGAGGTTGGTGGGGTGGTACGTGAGGACGAGGGG